AGGTATACTAGTAATCCTAACAATGAACATTGGGATGCTCTTATTCGAGTCTTGAGGTATTTGAGATACACTCTAGACTGGGGAATACATTATACCAAATTCCCTGCTATACTTGAGGGATATTGTGATGCTAATTGGATTTCCGATACCAATGAAAGTAAATCTACAAGTGGATATGTATTTACATTAGCAGGCGGAGCTGTCTCCTGGAAATCCACTAAGCAAACCTGCATTGCTAGATCTACTATGGAATCTGAGTTCATAGCTTTAGATAAGGCAGGTGAGGAGGCTGAATGGTTAAGGAATTTTCTTATGGATGTTCCTTTGTGGTCTAAACCATTTCCAACTATTTCAATACATTGTGACAGTCAAGCAGCTATCTCAAGAGCTCAAAATTCATCCTACAATGGAAAGTCTAGACATATTCGTAGGAGGCACAATACTGTGCGTCAGCTGCTTAAGGATGGGATTATGGCTATTGACTATGTGAAGTCAAGTGATAACATTGCTGACTCATTAACCAAAGGATTGGCTAGAGAGCTAATTCAACAAACATCGAGGGGGATGGGGCTAAAGCCTATTATGTATTAGATCACATATAATGGAAACCCAACCTTGCAATTGGAGATCCCATGGTCAAGGTTCAATGGGACAACAAAGTTATTGGAGTGGTCTGTGGGGGTACTACATTGGATTTATTCCAAACCCCTCCCTATGATGCGTAGTACCAACTGTATTGATTAGAGGATGAGCTAATGCTCTTAATGCTTATTATAGCTGATATTCAGTGGGGTGTTTAAATACAGTGCACCCTTGATAGTAGCACCTATTTGAGTGTGGAAGTGGGGCCGCTTCCTATGAGAATTGAGGCGAATTCTCTAGAGCACTCAAAGAAACTGGGAAAGTTCACGGCCGAAATGAACACAACCGCGAGAACTCAATGACTGTTCTAGAAATCATGTGTGTGTTCTATTGTCTCAGTTTGCAACTATAATTGTAGAGTTCAAGACATAGTTCACTCTACAGTTAGTAAACTCGATAGAATATACAAAGCCAAGGTTCAAGTCGATAGACACCTAAGCCTGCATGATTTCTACCGTACTCCAGAGTAATATTTTCATTTATCTTATTTCTTTCATGTGGGGGACTGTTATATATTTATGGTATAAATATAAAATGTGAAAGAAATAATCAAATTAGATAAAGTGCCAAAGTTGTGGGAAATGTGACATTTGTGTGGGACGTCAGGGGTTCGAATCACTCCCCACGCAAATATTAAAATGTCTTGATATGGACCTTGGGGCCTTGGGCTCTTGGGCTTCCTTAACTAAAATAAAAATTTTTTTTTCATTATTTAATGGGTAAAACTAGTCAGTATTTTATGACTGTTTGTTTTTGTAACAATCCACTAACTGCCATTAAAACACCCACTACTCAGTCATTAAAATTCTACACTAACATGGTGAAGACTGTTACTACCATCTTGCCTATATAAACCCATATCTTGCTTTGGGAAAAGACACACAAATAGAAAATAGAATCAATCACTCTTTTCATATTGTGAATTTCTTATATTCGGGTTTTTATACCTATTCTGGAGTACAATTGAGAGTTCTAAAAAAATCATTCGTGATTGCTGCATAAGTGGTTTACGATCGTTGTATCCTGGAAGTGATTGTTCACGGATGTCACAACAATTATTGACGGGCAATTTCACTTTAGGACATCGTGTTGTCACGAAACTCGATCGGACGATAAGTTTTATATTTCTGCATTATATTGTTCTGATCACTGTTGCAACTAATTATTTTTCCAACAAGTTGTCCCCTCATTGAGATGCTAGAGCAATTCTTTTTGTTGGTAATGTGATATTTCTTAAATGTTTAAAAAAAGAAAAAAAGAAAAAAGAATAAGATGATTCCCTAAATGTCACTAAAAAGACCGCGAATAAAATGATTTAATATGCTAATGACTTGTTTGTTAAAGCGACTAAGAAGGTATATATGATTAATATTGTGTTATTTAATTACACCCTCTCAGTCAAATACGTGATAAGGATGAATTATGAGCCTTTTCAATGTATTTAAAGTAAGGGTCATAAAATGATAGACACCTTTTTGTACGGAGATTGAAGTGCTCGAATCTTTATCCATTAAAGAAGAAAATTATTGTTTGAGCCTTGGTAAGTCTAACTCAAATTTCCATCAATCACCTACCTTTTGATAAGTAAAGGGAGTTTTTTTTAAATAATTATAATTGGTGATCATGATGCCTTACTATACATTATAGTGGGGTTGCGAAGGTGGGGTTTAAAATAATCTTCTTGGATTTTTTACTAAATTATAGTACCAAGGTCAATAACCCTTCTTGGATTCTTGTAATTATTTGGGGAGTGGCCTAATTGGATTCCATATTAGATTGAATATTCTTTTGATGGAAGTGCCAATACCAATACAACCATATATAGTTTAACTTATTGATTCTCTCTCTTCTCCTCCAAAATTACATGTGAAATTTGGGAGCTCAACTTGCAAATTTGATTAGTTGAAATCAATTAATGATATCCTTCCAAATTTTATGCATTAAGTTCAAGATTTGAATGGAAATCAACCAAGTGTGATATTGGCATCTTTATTACTTAGTGAAGTGTAAACTTTATTTGGAAGACTAACTAAAGACAATTTAAGCTTTAACTTGTACTTAAACTCAACCTGATCGAGTTTATGAAAACTTTTAAGTAATCAAACGTTGACTAACAAAAAAAAATTAATACCAGCTTATGAATATGTTAGATACCTATTCTTGGCTCGAACTCAGTTCAGTTTCTTCGATATATTTTTCAAGTAAATAAGTTCACATAATGCTTGGCACCACAAAATCAACACGTGATGCTGGTAGGCATGATGGGTGCCTTTGAGGGGTAGGGATGTCAGCACTTAAGGACTGTATTTTAAATTGACAAATGATAGGGTAACATGTGATATTATGTAACTCATTATTGAAAGTCTGATGTACATGTAGTAATGCCCTTTCCTTTATTACACTTTTTAACTTTTTATTTTCTCTTTTACATTCTCGAGTTGTATCCATTCCCCTGCCTTACAAGCACGCTGCATAGAAAGCCAAGCCCAGATCAGCCCGACACTACATTCAAGTTACCCAAGTGGAAAAAAGAAAGAAAGAAGCAAGCCTAATCTGATAAAGTGAAACTCATATTTTTCAGTTATGAATATATCAAACACCTATATTTGACTCGAACTCAGTTTAGTTTCTTCAACATATTTTTCAAGTAAATAAGTTCACATAATGCTTGGCACCACAACATCAACACGTGATGCTGGCAGGCATGATGGGTGCCTTTGAGGACAGGAATGCAATCACTTAAACATTGTATTTTAAATTGGCAAATGATAGGATAACATGTGATATTATGTAATTCATTATGTAAAGTTCGATGTACATGAAGCAATGTCCTTTCCCTTATTATACTTTTTAACTTTTTATTCTCTCTTTTATATTCTAGAGTAGTATCCATTCCTCTGCCTTACAAGCACGCTGCCTAGAAAGCCCAGCCCAGATTAGCCCGGCACTAAAGTCATGTTACCCAAGTGGGATAAAAAAAAAAAAAAAAAAAAAAAAAAAAAAAAAAAACAGAAAGAAGCAAGCCTAATCTTATAAAGTGAAATCCATAGGCCCAACAGGGGCAGGTAATGGGAGCCTCAAAAGCAGGACATGTCAGACGGGTTGACACCTTTAAAGAAAGATAAGAATAAAAAATGAATAATTCTTTGTGTACATTATGAACACAAAGCACACATGGTGCCCCCTATTGGAGAGGTGCGGGGTGGGCCAGGCGCCCCTTCAATAGGGAGGCGTCATATGTGCATTATGGACACTATGTCCATAATGTACCCCCAAGCATGACTCATAAAAAATGCCACACCAATTAAAACAGATTACAGAAATGAAATGATATCGAGCTAAAGAAATAAGATATTCCAGTTTGACACCAGATAAGCTCACTGGATCTTCTACGAAGACTAAAAGAGCTACGAAATTTTAAAAAGTTTGCAGAAGCTTCTCTCCCAACATGAGTGCAATCAAGAGAATCAGTACAATGATCATTCAATGCGTCGACCATAATTCCGTCCAATCCAAAAATCTAACAGCAAATTTACGCAAAATGTCTACTTTTTACACTTGAATACAATGATACTGAACTCGTATCTTCATCGGAGCTGCAACAGGAGCTCTCAAAACATCTGCAGATCAAGAAACTAGACAAAAGTTAGTGACTTTAGAATAGCAAATAAGGAATTCCTAAAAAGAATAAAACCGTAACAAAAGATCTTATTTCGTTATTGTATCTTTCACTAGTTGACTCCGGAAAACCTATATGGAACATCAGCCAAAAGAATCGCATTTATATTCCTCACTAAATACCCAGTAGCAAAAATCAAGGGAAGAACAGAGCTGATCTGTGGCTCGAAAAAACACCACCAAGCTTGTATGTATGTATGTATTCTATAATATTGATGTTTCTTCGATTTTTTCTAAATGAGCTATCATGAATCTGTACATAAGAGCAAAAATTTTATGACCCCAGAACAAAAGCATGAATTTCTGCCCAGGTTGAGACTGTGTAAAGAACTCCCGATAGACCCTTCCAACTAGGTGAGCCATTTCTAGCATATTGTTTCTGTTTCTTGACCACACCAGGGAACAAAGGAACAAAAGAAACACCAAAATGACTTTCCACTCGTCTCAGACTTGAACTTGAACCTATTACAATGCCAACATCTGCCTCAAGCAAGCAAAGCAAGTCACCCACTGAATCTCCGATGTATATTGTCAGAGTCTTTTTGTCCTTGTCGCAGTTCTGCAGAATATTAGTAAATGCTGCAACCTTGTCAATGGGAGATGCAACCCGCATAACAACTCCACCAGTAGAGGAAGATTCTTCGTAGACAAACTCGTTTGCATGTACATTTATAATGTCTAAACCACCTACTCGAAATCATAAGAAAAGCATTAACATAGAAACAAAGAATATTCCACAAGGCATTGTATTGCAATGGAATAATGAAAATTCATTGAAAAGCCAAGTTCGAATTACAGGTAAGACATAAAAATATAGTACAGAAGAAATGCTTTCCAGAGAACAACAAAATGCAAAATTCTATTTCATACAATTATTCCTCTCAAACTTCTGATACCATGTTTCCATCCATTCTCCACTTGGTCTGATAGGAATTTCTGCTGCCCCAGTATCTTTCTAGCTTGTTGATTACTAAACAAGATAGTTTTTACACAATGGCCCTGCTAATCATAACATATTCATTTGCAATTCATAGATGAGTTCCATAAAAGTTCTGTTATATACATGATGGATACTGAACTTCCCACAGACGTATAAACGCATAACATCAAGAATTGCCATCACATCAATAGCATAAACTACGGTTACTAGCAACTGTAATCCCAAAAGCTACAAAGCACAGCTATGGACATGGGACACTGACAAGAGATACACTGGTCAGGGAAACATCAACTAATATAAAGATTATATATGTATGGGTAGTGAGTCCAAGTACTAGTACTAATGGTGAGAACAGCTTATAGACATAAATTACATACTCTTGCTATTACTAATTTTCATGAACATACAGCTGAAGACGTTTTAAATGAAAACTGCCAACTCAAATCATAAAGACAAAATTTGGACTTTTTGTTCAAAAGAACAAAAAAGACTTGGTGGCATTATGATTGGGGTGTCAGTTAGAAAGAACCTATTTGAAAAGAATCTAATGCCATATCTGACTCAAAATGTTTTAAATAAAACTTGCCAACTCAAATCATAAAGACAAAATTTTGGACTTTTTTTTCAAAAGAACAAAAAAGACTTAGTGGCATTATGACTGGGGTGTCAGTCAGAAAGAATCTATTTGAAAACAGTCTAATGCCACATCTGACTCAAAGGCTCCTTCCTCCTTGGTTGTTGTTGATGTGGATCCAGAGGTATTGGTACAATAAATTCTTGAATTCAATATCAAACATGTAGTGCAAGTGTGCAACTACATAATATAACTATTAATAATTTACATGAACATAAATCCAAAAATGTTACAACAACATCGAACATGTATAACCACATAATTCTAGTTTCAGTCACTTTGGTGCATCAACTGGCTAATGGTTACAGGCCATGTATCAAACAAAAAATTGGAAGTGGGAGAGATAAAAGTGAACCAAAATGCCAAGAGATTTTGAAAACAATATTTTAACTGAAAGCTAATTTTTTCATCAGTCTCAGTTGCCGAAATTACTATTGATCCCTAAATGACGCTTTTACTGTTGATAATCTTTAAAAAAAAAAAAAACCCAAGTTATTTCAAGTTTCTGATTATACACGAACTGTTAATAGACAAATATATTCAGATCAGATAATGGAGGTTCCATAATTGTGATGGAAGATAAAAAAAAATTTGGAGACGCACTTTTTCCGCTTGAAATTTGACTAAAAACCATCGGTTATTGAAATGTGGATGTCAAAATTCAAGTCGCACAGCGGAGTATTAAATATGCATTATAATTTAGGTGCATATACTGAACCTTTTTTGTTTTTATTTGTTTTTTTCTAGGCCTTTAAAAACGAAAAAAGGGCATGATTTCTTATTTTTTATTTTTAAGTTCTCTTGTTGAGTGTGCACAGGTACAAAGTTCACGTTTAATTCCAATGAGATGTAAAAAAAAAAAAAAATGTTAAACCCTACATGTTAAAAAATGTGATTAATCCTCAGAAATAAATTCTAAGGGTTCAATCAGAGAGATGGAAATTATATATAATAGCCATATGAGAAATACAACAATTTCAGGTTCTGGCTAGAAAAGAACTTACCTGATGAAAAAGCAGACCTAATCAGATCAGCACACCAACAATAAGAAAGAACATGGACATTTGTGTTCAACTTTTCATTCCTTGTGAGACTCTGGAAGAAATTAGTGCAACCATCTTGAAAAAGCAGGGTTTCCCCAGCTTGTTTTATATCTTTAACATTCAAACCTTTAAGTACCCAAGAATATATCACCCTCAAGGTTGCTCTTTTCTCAAACTCTGAAAGCTGCTCGAGTACTTTACGCAGACCTTCAACATTGAATTGTTCAGCTGCATAAAATGATAAGCTTTCAAGCTTGTCCATCCAAGTTTCTCACCAATTGACACGGTATTAATAATTAAAAAATTGCAAAGCATGAAGAATGTAGTAAGCAAGATATGATAACACACCTTTATCAGAAAGCAAGATGCCCTCTATACAATGTTCATACTCTTCAGTGTACAGCTTGGAAAGTTCTTCCCAAAGGCTTCTCAAATCAGCCGAAGACATTTGAGTAAGTTGATTTTCTGATAGATTTTGATATGATTTTGGGGCACTTATAATGGTTATTTCAGCCAAGATGGCAGATGAATCTATAACAGTGCATGTCAAATCAAAATCGGAAAACAAAATTAGACGATCTTCTGCTGGATTATGTTCTGTCAAGAGAGGAACAACAGTTTTCTGAGCAAGTGGCTGAGCTAAGAAGAACTCTATTTCAAGTTTCATAGCTTGATGGTAGAGCTTTTCAATGATATCAAGCTCTTCGCCTGTCAAAGACACACTTAGTTTTTCCAGCAAAACCTCAGTTTGCAGAGTCACAGCCTAAATCGAGAAAACAACATTACAGACCATTATGTATAAATTTCCTGTAATTGGTGAAAATTTAAGTTTGTGAACAAATGAACAAAGTAAAGGTTACTCAGTAGTAAAATAAACCTTAAAAGCTTCAGAGGAATAATTGCTGATCCATTTCTGATAGGGATGAGGACTTTCACTGGGATCAAGAAGTGCCTGCACCTCTTCACCTAGAAAGGCATAAAGCCTCATGCAAGGTGTCATAGCACCAAGAGTATAAGCAGCCAATATCTTTTTCTCAAAAGGCGTTGCTAGTTTACCAGGGGCTTTCACTCCTTCAATATTTCCTGAGGCTGTGGCCAGCAAAAAATCTGCGTACTTGTCAGTTGCAGCATTAGGAACATTTTCTTTGGCCACGTCAATATCCCATTCCTACAAATTTACATAACCTTGAGAAAAGAGAAGTCCATATGCATGTGATCTGCAACTTGATTGTAAAACAGAGCACATCATATAGAGTAAAATGATAGAAACTCCCATTACAACCATGTTGATCCTTACAGTGATCAGGGGCTCAACCTATCAGGGTTTTAAGCATCAAGATGCAAATAGAAAAATATACTCATATGATGATGTTTCTAGTTGTTTATGCAGAAAAGCAGATTCTCTGTATCTAACATTCTAAATGTGATCCAGAGGCTTTATGTAGTGATCTTTGAAATATGATAAAAAGCAAAGTAATGAGCTGAGGCAGGCCATAGCTAAGTGATATGGCATGTATCCACTTTTGTTTGGCCTAGGTGTGAGGACAAACTCATACTCACAGGGGTGCAACCCAACTCTCTCCAAAGTTTTTTGAGGAAATACAATTCCACAAAAAATGAAGAGACTGGCACATTTGGCACAAGCTGACACTCACTCTGCTTGGGAAGAAAAGAACAATCCAGCAGATGGAATTTGCCTTAAAGAGCCAGAAATCCATCTTTGGCCCTCACTAAACTCCCAGAAGTCACCTTCAATACAAGATTCGTCCTTCACCACTGTCCTTGAATAAGAAGCACGCCCTGGTAGTCCTATCAACAAATCACGGACTCAAAAGAGAGTAATGCCTTATAGCACAATCTACAGCCACTGGGTCCCCAAGAGCATGGCTACCAGCCTACATGCAGTTCATATTGCATTTTCTGCTTACCGCTTACCCAATAAAATTTACCAAATTTAATTAACCAGATTGACCCAATAACAAGTGCACTAAATAAAATTACTTCTTAAAAGTATCATACAATAATAGTTTCTATAGCTCACTAATAAACAGAAAAATACAATAATATCACCAGCTTTGGGAAACTTGGACCAGTAGGAATAAAAATGAGAATCACAAGTCCTTGGTCATTAACCATAAGCTATAAGTGTTTATTGAAAACCTCATTAGGTGCCTGTTAAGCCTCTGACAACTTTTTAAACATTGGAGTCAGCTAGAAGAAATTTTCATTTTCCCATCCATTACGGAAAGCCTATATTTTATTCTCCCATCTATTAGGGAAAGCCTATACTTCTAATATACATATGCATATTCATTTTTTGGGGTCTTTTGTTTATTCTTGTCCTATAGAATGTACCTTCCAACTTTAGAGGCATGCAGACAACAACAAATATCAAATGTTGAAAGCAAGTAATCCATTTTAAACCAGCAATCTGTAATCCTTTTCTAATATCGAATTCAATCCCCAATAACCGTATCCGTAGTTTTTGAATTATTATTTTTAGAACTTCCTTTACAATACTAGCAATTATTTTCTCTTTCTGCCCAACTCTAATACATTTAGTATGCGTCCATCAATATATTTAGCATGTATACGTGAATCCTAAGTCCTAACTAATATATTAGATCCATCATTCTAATTCAAAGCTCACTGGAAGATAATAAATGTGAAGCAGTAACGTTCAAGGAATCTCTTTCAAGAATCATCTTCACATATTCATGTTCACATTTCCTCTATAGTAAATGTAGGATAGAGTCCATTATCCCAAAAATTTATTAAAGGTGTACTCTTAAACATTTTTTTTTTAATTCAAATTTAGTGTTCATTTGATGTTGGAATAATAATCTGTTCAGCACAACCAATGAGATCAAATAAATTGTCTTGTTTTCAGAATTTCTACTAGTTATCGACAAAACCTAATGTACAGAAAGAAAGATTTAATATTCATTGAAGTAAGCTTTAAACTTTCTTAAAACAAGTAAAAAGATATTTAAATTTAAATGACAAGGTACAGAGGAGTGCATGTGCATTGATGTAAACAGGAACCCATGCAAATATATGATAGTCCCATTATGACAATCAATATAAGAAGAAACAAAACTTAAAACACCACAAAGAACAGATGCAGATGCAGAGTTTTGATACATACTTGAACAAACGAATCATGCATTTTGAGCTCTTCAAGAATGCTCTTCCTCAGTTTCCTTATACCAACCTTCGCATCATCATCATCTGCACACTCTTCAGCCATTTCGTACCTATATATCATTTTCTTCACTAATATAAAAAATCCTAGCAATTTTTCAGCTCATAATCTATGATAAAAGTATCTTGACCAAAACTTGAACTCCAAAAACACAGGAAACTGGACCCATAGGGACATAGGTTTGTATTTGGCACCATGTTGGTATCTCAAAATTGACAATAGAATAATTCCACTTGATTTAACTTGATTTTCAAATTCAGATGTAAATGTGACAATAATTTGCACCACATTAGAAAGAAGGAATCTTTCAACCTACTTGTGTGTCACAAGGTTGGACTGCCACATCAAAAGACATATGCATCTCATGTGCCATTTATCTTAATTTGCTTTCAAATAATTAAGAAAACGATTTGTTTACTAGTGTCTCTTTGCTACTCTTGCTGCAAATTGATTCGCTTAGCATCCAGTATGTAACACCTATCATTATGTCTATAAGGGCAATGAGCAATTACTAAAAAATGAAAGAAGTGTGGACTTATGGCTATTATTGAGAAAAATAACAAGATCAAGACAGAAGGGTAATGTGCAGGTTAGCAATCAAAACCTGGGAAAGGGGTTGAGAAATAGCACACATCATAACTTTGGGAGGAGGTTAACATAATGTGCTCGAATAATGGTGATAGAATTTGAATGTTATTTCGTGCAGAAACCGCTCCAAGCTTGCTTACCAAAAGAGGATAAAAATGTAGTTCACCATTAAGACCAAAACTGTTGGTAGGACAGACAGATTGTGGAAAAGTAAGTCTTTAAATGGTTCTATACCTATGGTGGGTCTGTAATGAGAGTTTGTTCATTTTACCTATTCAAACTGATTGACAGCATGACTGATGAATATATTAATCCAATTTTAGGAAAATAGAGGTGAAGTTCGATGGTAGTACAGACTTGAACATAATCTCTTTTCCTTTTTTCCCTCTTTAATTTTCTTCATATAAAAAAAGTCAAAGCCAAAGAAAATAAGAAATATCTGTTTTAAATGACTTTTAGCCCTTAGCAGTATGAGATTATGACTCAAGCAATCAGGTTGTCTCAACCCTACAGAGTTAGTAAATAAGTTTTGCTCATTAGCTCAAGTTCAACCATCAAATGCAGGGTTGAATCTTTCATTGAATATCAGGACAGTAGAACTTTCAACATTTTTTATGGTTCAAACTCAAGCCTACAACTGAAAAATAGAAGCTCCTTATGAGCCCCATGATAACAGAATGAAAATCCCAATACTCTCACAATCAGACTATTGTTTCCTATCATGCCAGCATGCCAAGAAATAAGAAAAGAAAATTAATCCAATCATTTGTTTTCACATATTCTGTGGACAAATGAATAGACCTAAAAGAACAAGTTTACGAATGAACATATCACAAATAAACAGTGCACAAATAGTCCTTCCCCAGAGCGACCTTATTATTGTGTTGTTATCACTACCCATTGATCCTCCTGCCTAGCATACAGTTCATAAACTTTATCTATAGAATAAACCACAACAATTCTAAGAACGAGATAAATAGAAGACGATCTCAATATATTTTCCAAACTCCTGAACTCAAACAGACTCAGAAACACCATTCTGATAAAGAGATGAAAATGTCAATAAAACCTAATATTTCTCAATGTCACAGGACAAAACTACTGATCGATGTCATCAAGGAAATAAGAATAACACAAAAATGGAAAATCAAGGTAATTATAGTTTTGAAATAGAACACATGTACTAATCCATGTTATCGACAAAACAGAATAACCAAAAAAAGGAAAAAGAAAGAAAATGTTGTGGCTCCCACCCGTGCTCACCAACTCACTCCACTCACCATCTCACTACTCATCCACAACCAATGCATTCTAGAATATTCTATACCCTACTCTATTAATTCAGCACAAGGAGGGAGCAAAAGTGGAGTTGATGATTGTTAGCCTTGGCGCAAAACAGAATTTCCCCCTTTCTCTTTATCTGCTTCTATCTCTAAATCTAAATCTGAATTCTTCTTCTCTTCTTCGTTCTCTGAATCTGCCCACCACTTTCTCTTTTTCTTCTTCCTCTTTACTGTTAGTTTTGCTGTAATTGATCTTCAATATTGCAGTCAATATATTGGCTACCGATTTCCTTTCAAGTTTCTGATCCATTCTTACTGATTAAAGTTGAAGTCCAACTATAACAGAAAATCAAGATAATCATGGTACTGTAGTCCATAATAGAAAAGAACTATTGACATATCTTATGGACGAAATAGAATGACGAAAATAATGAGCAATTCTGCAGGTACAGAATTGCATTTCACATAATGCCAACAGATAAGACACAATAGGGTTGTTGGGTGATTTTTTGGCATTTTTTATCACAACGTTGAACCGCACAATGTGAGATTTCTGGTGCAATTCTGTAGAACAGTTATAGTACAAATAGAGTAAGTGCAAAAATAATAAAAAGAATTAAAGAAAATCAAGGTAATGACAATACTGCAACTCTGTGATCGAACCGTACTCCTAATCAGTCCTATGGAGGTCAATAAAATGACAATAGAACGACGGAAAGGAAGAATAAAAATGGAAATTCAAGGTAATGAAAGTACAGTGACAGAACAGAACTACTAATTTATGCTATCAAGAAAATACGAATAACCAAAAAAAAAAAAGAAGGGAATAATAAATGATGGTACTGTAATAGAACAGAGCTACTAATCAATGATATGGAGGAAATAAGAATAACAAATCAAGTTCATGACGGTTACTGACGCTTTCACAAAGGCGCGGAGGAAGTGAACGTCCTGTGCAATGTAATGGCGAAAAGCATCGAGTTCAAGATTTCCAGAAGCCAAACAGACAATAAACGGAGTGTAGAGAGCCTGAGTCCATTCCTTTCTGGACTTGACCCATAACCTCCTTCCTAGACCTTCCTCGATCGGCTGCGGCAACTTTCCGGTTGCCAACTTAGCCATTTGAAATTCACTGAAATTACCAGTAGGAGAAAGGAATGTGAAGTGAGAGTTGTTGCATCAAATTGATTCAAATTTCTTTGATTAATTTGAATCCAGTGGTGGCGGTGGAGGAAAGCGGCGGAAGGCAAATGTTTATTTTTACTATTTCTGGCAAGTGTGTGTAAAAGATGTGTAAAATGGACCGTTTAGCCACATTTTGAAGGATACGGCACATAGTCCGAGAATAAGCCAATGGCAGCCGGGATTTTAACGAATTCTGTTTATCCGTTTCCTTCTGTTTTGTAAAATCACATTAAAGGTCCTCAACTTAGTGGCTGTTTTGTATTTTCATCCTCTATGTTTGGAAATGGAGTATTTTAATCCAAAACATCGAATTTTATTGCACTCGTGATCTCTGTTAAATTGGCATGTGAAAGCACGTTTCTTATTTTCACAAGGCTTAAATTATCAAGCCAGTTTTAAAGTAAATAATTATCTCAACTCAATCGTGGTAATATATCATTGTCGTCTATGTTTTTTCGATTTTAGAAATTTTCCATTTTGCAAGAGTTTCATTTTTTATTACCAGTTGGATTACTTTTACAGATCCTTGAAAATTTATTTACAGGTAACAATTTCATCATTTTTTTGTACATAAAACATTCTCTGATGTATTTTCCAATTCCGAAACATAAATTCTTCGTTCGTGAAATCATGTATTTGTAAACATTTGGTGCATTCTTATTCTTGTTATTCTTCATTAGTCGCCATCAAATACCAGTATTTACTTTACATTTCCATACTCTATTATTCTGTAAAAGGATCTCCATTAGAATTATTAGTTATGATAATACATGAAATATCATTTTTTACATCTTCAATATTTATGTTGCTTGTTAGAGTTTTTTGAATGCTGATTCTCCATTTGTAATACGATTACATGTTTAACATTATATTGTAAACTTAACGGGATTAATTGCATATATCCGTGTATTGTTTTGATTCATGTGAAAGTGATTCTAACATGAACAACTTTGTCTGTGGAGTAATGGGATCGTTCACATTTGGACTTCTTGTACTAGTTGGATGAAAGTATGAGAGACTTGTTGAGATGAAATCCACAGAGATGAAGATAGATGAGAGGATTGAGATCTTAAAAATTGAGTATGATGCGGGTGAGAATATGACCCTAGTACGAATATCAAATGATAGGTTATTACTTTTCTATTTGGAGCTGAAGAAAAATGATCCACAATTAACAACATATTTTTTACATGTTGAAGTATTGCACGTGGCAAACATACTTGACTCGACATTCGGACCTTATTTGGGAATGCCACGGTCCATTAATTTATTGAGTAGTTCATCTTCAGATGTTCCGATGATTAGTGATGTATGAAAACTAAAACGAAAACGAGCATTGGATGACTATATTATCTACTTTTCCATTTACCATTTTGATTATCCTTCTACCATTGCCAGATTTTTCAATGTTTAATATTATATGATTTGTATTTGATTCTCTTGTTAATTTGTTGATTCATTTGCATTATATTGATTTATTGAATCTTACGTACCTTAATATGTGGTTTTGCATTGGTGGATTAAGATAAAATTGGGACAATCAAGTACACCCTATCTTTGTAGTGAAATTGGGTCTCCGCTTGAAGTCTAATAGTGCTAAAATAGTATCTTGATGACTCGATTGACGTTGTGAGGCTGCTTCAATGTTTAGCTAGTGCTTCTACTCCAAAACCTCGACATAGTAAGATCTTCCATGTTACATTTTATAGCGTATTTTTGATAATGCAAAAGGATTATTGGGCTTGATATTTTATGTCATAAGTGACAACAAGCAGACTACACTTTTTGTGATCATTTCTCCAAATGCAATGTCGATTTGATTTACATTTGCAAATCGCAAATCTTTTGAATAATATTACCAACTTAAATGCTCGTCACATAATTCTAATTATATGTGCGTTGTTGACCTATAGATATTTTATTAATTATAATGATTTTAGACTTCTATATTTGAAACTACATTTTACAATGATTATCAAGAGGGTAACATGCTTAGTGCATTACTAGCATGTAATCTGTGAACAAGCATGATTCAAGATGTAAATATGAATATTACTTAGACTCAAATGAAATTCAATGTTGAAAGATTCGAAGAACAGAGCACTGATCCACAACATAACTAGGGATAATATTTATAATAGTCACCAAATTCTCCAAAATACGACAAAAGATAATCATCCTACCAAAAGTAAAATGTTTATCTAACTACACATGATTCAAAATTTAAGATCGTCTATTGACACTAACATTTAGAAAGGCTACACAAAAGAAGACAATATCCAAAAATAATGGCAGTCACTCCTCCACAACTCCCTTCATTTTCCTTTCCCTCCAAACACTTCTTGCTACAAGGTCGTAGTCCGTTTCATATCCTTTGATTAACTTCTCACATCCATGCTTATATAGTTGAGCAGTCAGGTATGTCCTTGATGTGTTTGAGTTCAAATTATCAGCCATAGAGAGGATCTTCTAGTGTATTATACTTTCAACATACTTTATCACGTAAACTCTACAATCGTGTCTGTTGTTAATGATATAGTGAGACACATGATAATATTGTAGATATAATGAGAAACTGCCATTGTTTCATTCACGTACACCCCACGTGTTATTTTACATCTCCCACCACGTCCGAGATTGAAAGGGACCAACTAGTCCATCAACAAAGAACTCTTCTAATTTTCTCTTCCAATTTTATTTATTTAATTGATTTATTACTTGGGCATCTATTCTATCACCTTGTTCTTCTTTACCTTCTTCCCTTTTTTACAGTCGTAATATGGAATGGAGGATATGTCGATGTAGAAATTGAATGGGCAAAAGACATCGTGAACGGATGCGAACCCAACTAGACAATTCTTTGCTTGTGAGGTGAATGTAGTGCTTCATCATGATAATTTCACACGATTTAAGTACTTGATACACTATTTTCATTTTTTCCTACAAAATCATTGTGGTGCTTTGATTGGTATGACCCTCCTATTTGTCATCAGGTGAAGGAAGTGACTCTTGGATTGCTGAATTCCTAGAGATGAGATGAGAAAAAATAAATGAAATATAAGCACATTTTAAGGGCCTCGAAGCAAAAATCAACAAGCTACAAACAAAGATTAAATGCCTTAAAGGAGTGAAGACAAAAATAAGCACACGTAAAAAAGTGGAAGAATTTCTTTTGTGGATGGACCAGTCTGCCTCTTTCGATCTTCGACACGGTGAGAGAAGTGAAATAACCAGGGGGGTATATCTGGGTATCTGTAATTAAGTGAAATGTTGGGGACCTCTGGTGCTAAAATAAAAGTTAATGACAGATTAGTAACATAATACAAAGATTGAGAGCAAAAGTGCAAATTTCCCTATTTTAAATAAGGGGAAATTAACATTTTATCTTTAGCATCCAAATGTTATACAGCTTGCAACAGTAATGCTGAACCTCAATGAACAGATAGGATTATGGGCCACTCACGTTTCATATCGTTCTCTCTCGTAGCTTATATACACTCCAATCCCTGTAATGGCAACTCAACTAGTCCAGTTAATCAGCCCATTCACCGTATCTTATCGTAATTATCACTATGGATTCAAAACCAGTAACAACAAAAAGGTTAATTGGTGCCGCTACACAGGGGGCCGGAGCGGTGGGTCCAATTGGGATTGGGAGAGGACTGTTAAGCCCAACCAAAGGTCCAGATTCGGCAACCAATTTGCGACAGATGATGATGATGAGGGGGAGGAGTTCGGGTTCAGGAACGCCGCGAAGCAGAGGATTTGGTGGTCTGAAGAGTTTCACGAAGAAGATGAAGAAGAGGAGGAGGAGGAAGGATTTGGGATTCTCGAAGGTTCCATTGGTTTTAATTGGATTTTCAAGGTATTAATTTTTCAAAATATGCTTTTAAGTTTGTGTGTTCCAGTATAGCATGCTTGTTAAGCATAAAAAAAATTTACTTCTAAGTTAAACTCATTTATAAGTAATTTTGAAATAAAATAATTTATTTATTGGTTAAATTAGGAAATATGCAAGTTTAGTTACTTCCTTTTGGAACTAGGGAGTTCATTGAGCTAATCATTGAGAGGATTAGCTGTTTAATTAATACATTGGTACATAATATTTGTTGGACAATACAATAAACAAAATTTTAACTATTTTTCTTATTTATAGCATGTGTAGACATATTTTTCGATAAAGTTACTTAAGTAACTTTTAAAACTTAGCCAAATATTGTCCGCCAATCATATACTATGAAGCACTAGCAATATTTACTATGTATTTGTCATCCACTGACACTTATTGAAAACACCCTTTAAGGCATGTGCACGACATAAAATGTCATATTTTTTCATATATTTTTAAAATTTCCAACACTTGAAGAGCCTAATCTTTATAGTTCTAAACAATAATGACATCTCAACACATCAAGCATAGGCAAAGCTCCATTTCGTAAATTTAGAATGCAAAATTAACAAAATAATATATAGTTTGGTCCAAAAGTAAATATAATAAATAAACCAACCGGTTATTGAAAATATTTCACTCTAAAAGAAGTGTTGAATTTATTAAAAATAAAAATAATAAAGAAGTAAAGGTATAATATGTCAAACGTATAATTTAAAGAATTTATGTTGATATGTCCACATCCCACATTTTTGGAAAGATCACGTGTTTTCATGTTTGTATCGTGATGTATACAATGTTTCAGATCCATGTCCATGCTCCTTAGCAACCATTTTCTATGCCAAATATGCCATATAAATGTGGAGTTATAAGGTTAGATGCCAAGAGGGCAGATAGTAGTGGCTTTAAGGAGCACAGGAGTACAATTGCGATCACTATTATAAGTGTTAAGCCATTTTCAATTGCAGATAGAAGCAAGGTTGAAGTTTTATGTTTTGGGAAACAATGAAAAGTGAATAATGAGGTCTTTTCCTCTCACTTTATGAATGTGTAAAAACAAGAGTACAATCCTTGAGCATGTTTATTGTGATTAAAAGTTACTTGTCTAGGCTTACTTTCTAGGGAAGTAAGTTTGTCTTTTCTTCTCACTTGAAGAATGCATGTGTAAAAACAAGAGTACAATCCTTGAGTATGTCTTCTTGTGATTAAAAGTTACATGTCTAGGCTTTTTCAGAGAAGTAAGTTTTGTTTGTAAATAAAGCCTTGTTTCAGTCCTATTATTTAAAAACTTATTTTTTTCAAACTCATTTTCAACCACACACATTCTTTTAATAAAATAATTTTTCACATAAACCCAAATTTTTTCTACTTTTTAACCACTCATTCTTCAAAAAATCGCTATCATAAAATTTATTTTTCCCAAAATGGGATTCAAACAAACCCATAGTAACTTCGAAAAGAGGCCTGATTACCCTATTGAAGCAGAAAGAAGCCAGTAGGTTGATACTTCTTCAGTGTGCTCTCATCATGGTCTTTATAAAGGAATCTTACAATTGTGAGATATCTTATGGGTTTATAGTGAGAAACGGCAGTACCATGCCTGCACGTGGGAAGGCAGTGAACTCTTGCCTATGTCAACGCACGATAACATTAGAAATTCAGAAGAGTGAAGAAATAGGAGACTGGGGGAATCAAGCTTCCACATTAGACTGCATATATTCAAAGTGATAAGGATTGGACTGTTGCTTGATTCTTCACCTCTAAAGTATGTTTCTAAACTAAGAATCCCCTGAAAGGTAACTTTGTCTAGCATTTTTAGCAATAAAGTTGCTTAGTATTTGCAAGTTACTTTTATGCTTTGCCAGACATGCTCTCTGTAATATGAAGTGCTTGTTGGGATTTTGTTGCCAAACTAACTTAAAGAGACGATGTACTTTAGTTGAACTACTTGGTCTAATAATCGAAGAATTTATAAGGCCCGAATATTTTACATCAACTTTGACCAATTGACCTTGCCTAAATGTGAAAACAACATTTTGAAGTGTAATACTTTAAGTCCCATTCTACAAAGATTATTATTATTTTTTTTAAAACCACATTCTTCCAATAAAATAATGTTATGTGTAAACAAAATTTTTTTTCCTACTTTTTAACCACACGCTCTGCCAAAAATCACTCTTTCAAAACTCATTTTACCTAAACTTTGATTGTTATGGATAAATTGTTACAGTGTGCAATGAAGAAGGATGTAAAGATTAGGATAGGCAATCGGTATTTTTGGACATAAAGTTAGTAATGTATACTGACACACGTAATAGTAGGTTTTCTTTCATGGTGGAAACACTTGTATAGTTTACTCCAAAAAGATCCACCTTTTAAATTATTTTATCTTTTGTTTTAAGTTCGAAAAATTCTACTTCTTTAAGACAACGGTTTGTATTTGGGCATGTCACTAAAGTAGAGAGTTGAGCGTTGTTTATGGAGTTAAATTTAAAAGTGAAGCAATAGTTCAATTATGTTAGGGTTTGTCTTGATGCATAATGTATGGACAACTTAATATGCACCTAGGTACCTCTTCGAGCTCTTTTTAGTCTTCGTTTTGTGCCATGAATTTGTAATAGTTTGGATTTTCAGATAATTGGAGACATATAGCATGGCTAATGTTAGTGTGACAACTATTTCTGTAACCTCATGAGCGAAATATAGCTAATCTATGTCCTTTCTAATATGTTATTCATATTTTCCATTTTTTTTTTAATTTTTTTTAATTTTTTAATTTTTTGTCTTTGATTTACATCAATCAATATGGTGCTCTTCGAATCTAGAAAACAGGCTTAGAGCATGTAGACGAGTTAAAATGTAAACGTGAAAATAAACTTTAAATAATTTCGTCTCCTAGAAGGTTTGGTAACTTGACACTTTTTTCTTATTTTCAAGTAAAAAACGCATTTTCATTTGAAAGTAACTCTTATGATACTGTTAAATAACTACTTTCCAATTTAGACCAATAAAAAATTATTTAATTACTTAAAAGTAAATTTACTTTTAAGTATATATTTTAAGCATAGCAAATGCCCTTAGTGGCATGAGTCTGGCCTCTATGCTAGTAATTTTCTCACAATTTGTTTGTTTTCATCGCTAGGTTTAAGTTATTCTGTTTTATATTTAAAAACATACACCTTCATAACCTGTAGTCTCGTGTTAAAAAATTTCACAAATTTGAATCTGAAAGAGGAAACATTTTGATTATGGCGAATATATTAAGCATCTCGGGATATAGAAATATCTAGTTTTGAGGTTAGATTTGCACCATTCATCCTTCTTCTCTGTCATTCTGTTATTAATCAACAAGCTTTTGATTTATTGAGAACAAGGAACAATTTCTAGTACGAATAGTTGATATTTTGATTGCAAGCACAACTCTTTTGTGTTAACTGACATCAAACAAGGTTTCATATACTGAATTTCTGAATATATATCATGGAAAAGGCACTATTCGGCCCCAACCTAGTGCCTAGCAAGTTGGTTATCAATGCTTCATTTTAGTTGCATAAATCAGTCCCTTGTGACGAAAACTATCCAAATCTATATTAAATCATCGCATAACCCTCACATTGCCAACAATTTAAAACAAGGTTTTGTTTCCTAAACATGTGAGGGTCCCCAGAAATTTGAAGTGAGGCATGTTTTCATTATGCCATGTGACTATTCAATGAAGTCTCTTTCATTTTTTTTGGAAATGACTGGAACTCGGGCAATAGGTTGTCAACGGATGGTGCAAGTTTCCCTATATATCACTGGTTCTATTTGCAATTATACATCATAATTGAGTTGGCTCTGATGCAGGTATTCAGGGCCTTTGGTTGGATGCTTCCAGCCATCATCATTTCACTGCTTGTCGGAACAGGCCCCAATACTATCATCATGGCGTTAGCCCTACCGCTTGCACAATCAACACTTTCATTAGTTGCCGATACATTGTGGGGAAGGTCTGGGGACACCTCGAGCCCGAAGTCTAAGGGCAAGAAGTGGAAATACTCTGGAGCTACTAGCAATACCAGAGTTGGAAAGGAGAAACGAAAGGATCCTCGTACTAGGAGGAAGGAAGCATGGGATTATCGGTCATGGGCATCTGCAAGTAATGTGTCAAACAAAAGTGGGAAGAGGGACCGACAAAATTTTGGTGGATGGGACGAGCTAGACAAGCAAACAGGAGTGCCCAAATTGTCTAATACAGCACCAATTGTAAAGGCAAACAAACCAAGAATGCAAGATAAAGTTAATATGAGTCGGAGAACCAAGGGAGGTACTCCATTACTCGTGAGACTGTTGATTGCCGTATTCCCATTTTTGGGGTCTTGGACCAAGTTATTATGATAGATTCTTATGGCATGTTTGGTAAGATGATGAACGGCATTAAAGAAAAAAATAGTTATAGCACACCAAACATGCCTTTACTGTTTGTTATGCTTGTAGGGGGAACTATTCCCCCCTCATTGCAAGCAACCGACTTTGATTGTTATTGTTATTTGTCTCGGAAAGTTTCCATGCTCAGATCCAAAGTGATGCAGCTTTACATTCACGATGGCATGCAGTGGAACGACTATGCCTGTGTTACTTGTTTGATAGTGTGTAAGCTAAAATCTTCTCTACTATTCTAGTCATGTCGAGCCCGGTGTACCAAAAATTTCTTCTTGCCAGATTTCTTAGTTCCAGCTTCACTATGATCGGAGTTGAAGCTTCGAAATTCTGTTTCATAATGTGCAGTCATTTCATTTCCAAATTAATGAGGAAGTTCAGTTGTAAGTAATTATCTTTTATTAGAGGGAACTATCAGTGTATAAATTTTTGTTTTCTCGATTTGTTAATAAATAAATGTAGTTGGGTTCTTGCTTTCTTTGGAATCACTCGAGCGTAAATCGGGCTAGGTCAGTTTCAGAGAGGTCTGGACCAGCCTGGGTTTTGTGACCAGCCGGATACGTGCTTCTCTGTGACCCGTCTTGCCTCTTGGTCGAATTTATTATTGTGTTAATCTGTTTTTTTATTCAAATAACCTCAAATAGAACAAGCTGTCACATATTATTATGACTCTTGCAATCGATAATAATAGATAGTAGTATTTTTTTAGAGCACGAATTTTAATGTCAATTCAATTCTATAAATACAACCGAGTTTCTTTGGTTCAAAGCAAGAAGGAATATCATATCAAGATCAATTGAATATATTTAAGAATTCAAGTTTAAACTTCAATTTTCTGTTTCTAATTGAAATTTGGTGATGTATTTCCAATCTAATATCTATTTTTATGATATGATTATACTAGGCTAAAGTCATATGTACTAGAATGATGATGAAACATCCTTTTTGAATCTTTAATCTTCCATTCTTGTTGTTGAAATTAAATACTGTTATGGTTTGAATGTTTGTCATTGCTTTGTTGTCTTCAATTATTTCGCCGTCAGTTGATGAAGGAATTTGTCACTTATTTCGTCATTATCGATGTACAGGTATATCATATCCTTCCTAATAATATTGTAGTTGCGATATAAACAGAAGTTATAATTCAACTAAATTGAAAAAATTACCGTCCTTGGAAAAAATGCTAGAACAAAAATTTACGCAATTTTAAAATGTTATATTTTATTAATGAGTAACGAGCCATTAGTGCACTCATTACGAAATACAGACACGCGACTATCAAGAAACTTCAACAATGCTTTGAAAATACAGTTACAATATCAAGAAACTGAAAAAAATTTAGGTCACATTTGGGAGCAAAGATTTTATGCTACCAAATGTTTATTAGTTTGTAGGGCAAGATCATGCCCTGCTTGAATCCAAAGCCATGATAGTACTGAGGTTCATGGGGTGCATATAAGTGTTTGTACCTGTCAAGATCTGTTCTACAATGAGTCTATTAGCCCTCTCAGATGGATGAAAAGGGTCCCAAAACACATATTCATCTCTATTTGGGCACAAATTTGATAAAGGTGTGCAAAGGCCTA